AAATAAATAAATAAATAAAAATAAATAAAATATGTGCACACTAGGGCGGTCCAAAAACAGTAAAGTCGGAATTGTAATGCTAAAGTACATATACCCATATTTTTTTTATTTTGCAATCAAAAAATGTTTAGAGGTCGCTCAAAGAGCTTAAAGTTTTCCTTGTATTTTTATATGGGAAAAAAACAACTTTTTGTAGAAATGGTAAAGAGCTCTTGAAAATCAATATTTTTCGATCGGAAAACCATGGTTCTCTTCAAGAAACTTTCAATAAGAATACCCAATTGTTTATTCGACTATTTTTTAATACTAACGATTTTTTGTTAGTCCGCCCATTGAATTTTTCGGGGTTTTTATGGGATTTTGGCGGACCTATAAATTATAGTTGCGATAAAAAAATGGTTAAATAAACACTTGGGTATTATTGTTGGGAATCTCCTGCAGATAAACAGAGTTTTCTGGTAAAAAAATTTTGATTTTTAACTATTCTATACAATTTCTACGAAAATACATGGAAAAGTTTAGGCGCTTTGAGCGACCTCTAAATATATTTTGATTTCAAAATAAAAAATAGGGATATATTTTGTTTCGGTATAGAACAATCGTAGGGGGTGAGACCATAAAAATTCCGACTTTACATTTTTGGACCACCCTAGTGCACACACAACAATTAACAATAAGGTAATCCCTATTCCACTATTCCATTTCTCGCACAATTTACCACCTTAGAGGTCCCAGTGCTTATGGCTCATAATGATAATAATACTATAGGTACCATTCTTCTTTTCATTTCAGTGCCTTTCCATTGGAACGATCTCGATCGAATTCGCAATGCAGACAGTATTTGGCTAAGACGCTTTCTTGAAATGTACGATTTGGAAATGCAAGTCGCCTTAAATAAACTATGGGAAACTTGTATGTGGCGGCAGGAGTATGGAGCTTACGATTTAAATGAAAATAATTTGGTTAAAGAATATCTGCACGATGGCGTCGTATTTGCGCACAACAAAGATGTGGATGGCAAGACATTGCTCATCTTTCGCACAAAGCTGCATGTGAAGGGCACAAAGGATATGGATGAAGTAATACGCGTTGTGGTCTATTGGATCGAACGTATACATCGCGAAACGAATATGGATAAAATGACGATTTTCTTCGATATGGCCGGCACCGGTGTGTCAGGCATGGATCTGGACTTTGTCAAGCGAATTATTGAAACATTCAAAATGTACTATCCGAATACATTAAATTATATACTCGTTTTCGAAATGGCTTGGATGCTGAATGGTAAGTTAATTCCTTTTATATTTCTTATTGAAAAATTTAAATTTCTTCGTCACAGCTGCGTTTAAAATCATAAAGGGTTTCCTCCCAGCCAAAGCGCTGGAAATTCTCAAAATGATATCGAAAAAGGATATTACTCAGTACGTGGACAAAAATAATTGCCTTGCCAGCTGGGGAGGCAACGACCTTTATGAGTTCAAATTTGTGCCTGAAAAAGTGCAGAGGCCAACAGCATTAACTGTGATAAGTAATGGAACACTGCCAACGAAGGCACCACTCACGCCAGAATCACCGAGCAACAATGAAAAGAAGGTGAGTAAGAACCTAATTTTTATTGTTAAAAGCTAATATAACTATATGCACTTATGTACATCTTCTTCTTCTTTATTGGCACTGTAACCACCTAAGCGATTTTGGCCGAGTCCAAAACAGCACGCCAGTCATTTCACTTATGTACATACATATGTACATATGTATTAAATGCAAACGGGCTAAATGCCAATGCCAGTCAAAATATTTTGGTCACTATCTGCGCGTGTTTGTAAATAAATACGTACAGACATATGAACATATGTACACTATCAGACAAATTTAAGTGCACACCTTGTTCTAATATAATATTCACAATTATTTTCATCAACAATTTTTTGCATTAATTATCTATGAAAATATATTTCATTCTATAATAGATACATTGGCGCTTACATATATGTATGTATGTATGCTAGTGATTGGCCGAGCTTCTCCTCCGATTTGTGGCGTGCGCCTTGATGTTGTCACGCAAAGCGGGGGGACCTGTAGTTTTACGCTGAGAAGCTTTTTTTCACCGCTATTAGAAAAAAAAAACCTTTTTTGTATTACATTTTTTGATGTTGGGTTAAATCGGGCTTGAACCCAGGTCCTGCGGAGTGGAAGCGCGCAGTGCTAACCCATATACCACAGTGGCCGCATATAGTGCATTCTATAATATAAACCACAAAAAATCAATGTTTCACATTCTATATAAAGTTCAAAAAAATTCCAAAAAAATCAAATTTATTAAGAATTTCTAGAAGAATTTTCGAGTATGCAGTTCTTTAGCACATTCATCTTTTTTGTGGAGGATGTTGCAGGTTTCTTCCATATAAAAATGAACTGTTTTTATTCGTTATATGGAAGCAAAGGCGACAAAAAAAAATTTCTAAAAAATCAACGGTAACTTTAAACGACTTGAAACGTGCACTTTATTGCACTAAAATTTAATGGGCTACAAAGCTGCATAAATACTCGAATTTTTGTATAAATAGTTGAAAATTTTTGGAATTTTTGTGAACTTTACATTAAGTGTAAAATTTTGATTTATATGGTTTATATTATATAATGAACTCTATTTTCATAAATAATTGTGAATAATATATTATATTAGAACAAGGTGTGCACTTTAATTTGCTGATAGTGTATGTACAGATGTATGCATTGATGTGGATATGTATGTAACAAACTATGTACAAAGTAGTCATTCATTTATTATAGCAAAATGAAGCATACTTTTAGGAAGATTAGTTTACATCATTAGTGAACTTTGCTGCTGGGTTACAGGAAGTAGATGTGCCAAAGAAATTATACCGGTTGCCAAAATTTGTATAAAATTTTCTTTTTAAAGTATTTAATTGGAATTTTTCTCCTAATATCCCAATGTGACCAACCTCGAGAATACTAATCACTAACTAAATATTTGCAAGTAAATTATTTTTCAGATGTCATTAAGGTTATTTATACAAAGCATAAATCTGAGTCTGATGAATACCTGAACAGCTTAGATCTATCTAATCTACCTAAATATCACGCACAGTATTTAAAAGCGTATTTGTTCAAAATTTTTAATTTTTGATATTTGATTATGTATACCAAAAAATTTTGACAGACCGCATATTTACCTTCTGCCAAAAGCTTGACCAAGATTCTGTTGTGTTCCTTTCCGGGGAGTTCTGAGTTAATATGCTTTGTGTAACATGTGTTTGTAACATTTGGATCTGTCCGGAAATTGTCTATTTTTAAGTAAAGCTTTATGTATACGAATATGAAAACCCCAACGGACCATAAACGATAACGATTTTTCCTGATTTATCGACCCCAGCACCATCAATCGGATTCAGACCAACTCATAAAACCGCGCAAGCAGGCTCACAACAACTTAAACAATTTTAAAATCAATCGGATAAATGGTGTTGGAACATATAAGTTACAATCAAGCACACGGTCACGCAAATTAAAACGTTTATATTTAAAAAAGAAATGGAAAGTGAAAGTAAAGGTAATTAAATCTCCCTGCAATTTAGTTGATGCTGATATTTGCCATCAAACCATCAAACTCTAGCGAAAGCCTTATTTCTTAAACATATGTACATATGTATATATCTACACCATACTTAGAGGAGCTTTTAACCGTTATGTTCAGGCAAGCAATTGTATCAATTGTATCAGATTGTCGGTGTCACCGTTGGTATCAAAAGTACACCTTATGTATTTATGTATAGCACAAAAAATATATACGAAAATTGTTCATGGAATCCTAAGCACTATTATGTACATATGTAGTTATCTCCCGCTTTCGCACTCATAGTTCTTACATATTTTGTAACTAAATAATGCGCCGCTGTCACACTCCTACAATGCATTATTGTTCAAAGGCTCACTGCTTACTTTTATATGAATTTTCTTGCCCTCAATCCATTAAAGTCGTATTATTTCCATGCCAGTTCACACTTGCTTTGTTCCTCACGCTTTCCAGACAGTAATTTGAGAGTAAAAAAATATATCTCACTCAAAAGTACAAATATATGCCGAAGTGCCTATGGCGTGAGAAACACAAAAACCACTGATTTAAGTGTTTTTATTGTTGTGACCAGGAACCCTAATCACTATGAATAAAATAACTTAGATCAACCTTTAATCATTAATTTATGATTTTTATATTCTCGCTTAAAAATTATAATTAATATTGAGTTTTGTTTTTTCGCTCAACGGAAATATTTAATTAGTATTTGATTTTTAAAAATAATGTTCAATTAAAAGGCCATACAGACAAAGGCATACAGCTGAAAAATTGAACTGAAAAATTTTGAGACGTATCCCTTTTATTAGGGTGTCGCTACTTCTGAAAAGAATAAGTCGGAAATCGCGTTAATATAGCTTTGGAATGATCACTATTCTTAAGTGAAAAAAAAAACTCAGTAAATATTATCTCTGAGCGAAAAAATACAAATTATAAAAAAATAATTTTGTATCGAAAAAATTAAAAATCATATAATATTTTATCTCAGACGAAAGACTAAAACTTAAACATTAATTATTATTTTGAATTTGTATTGGTTAAACTCGAAAAATAAAAATCATTATAGATTACAGTAGGATGTACGAATACAAATATGTGAGTACAGTTAAAACTGTTTTACGACACTTACAACAAGTTGATTTTTCTTACTAAAATAAAAAAAAATAATAATTATTATTTTCCGCCCCTGCTTGTATTATTTAAAACTTTATGTTTTGTCTACTGGGTATGCACCATTTTGTGTATGCGTGTCTGTATGTGTATGCACAACGGTCGCGCCTAAAAGCTATCAACGCAAAACATTACCGTGCGATACCGGAACGAGCGGCATATTGAAAACAAACAAAATATGCTTCCGCATATGGCTATAAATAAGTGTGTATGTATGTGCATTTGTATGTGCTCAGACGCCGCGTTACTAACTACAAATTGACCACTTCAAATAAGGATGAGTAGAGCCAATGACATAAGCAATGGATAGGAGGTACACTTAACTTAAACACACTATCTAACAATTATAGGCAGCGTATAAAAAAAAAAGGCCTATTTGGTTTTGTTGTTGTTGTTGTTGTTGTAACACAAGCTTAACTATCTTAGCACGAAAGGTGGTTTCGTTTTCTAATTGACTTTTGACATTGGAATTTATATTTAATACAGTTGATTTGACGTCAAATAAAATAAGTCCACACAAATGTATGTACTATATTTCAGCTTGTCGAAACGCTTACTTTGCACGAACTAAATACAATTACCAAATTTCCTGATTTAGGTAGAGATATTGTCCCTAAGGGATTGTCGTTATCAGTAGGCGTGATTGGTTGGAGAATTCTTTCCTTAAAATCCAGCACACTTGAAAATGTTGTATCCGTCCCCTAGACGCTGAAATATTTGTAATTATGCCACCAAGTCTTATTTTAACGTATTTACATATGTACATACATACTTACATATGTATGTCTGCATTTGGGCAGGCTTAACCACAAGCAAGTAGGTGTCCCACCCAAGCCACACGCAAATCATTCAACAGTTGGCAAACACACGAGTACTTTGCATATCTGCAATAAGCACGTAGGTATGTATGTAAGTATGTATGTATATTAGACTGGGTCGATTTTGTATGGAGGAGAATAAAGGCGATTTGGTTGTATGTATTATAATAGCGATATTATGTTGCCTTAGAACTAAAAAATTATAGTTGGGCACAAAAGATTATATTTAGCGCCGGGCAAAGGATGGAACTTTTTGAAATCTGAGCAAAATGTTTAAAATTTTGATGAAAATTCGTGTATATCAAACTATGATTTCCTTATTCGGGGGAATTCGAAGCTCCCATAGGTATTCGTTTGCAAAGTTGTTTATTGAAAATTTATTAGTATTTTCTTGGGTATAAAAATGTTATTGAAAAAACTAATTTAGCCCTTTAACCGAGTGCCGAAAAAAATTTACTCACCTATATACCCTCATAGTGGGTGTTCAAAATCGCTTGGAACAAATTGAACTTTTTTCCTGGCGCATATGTACGTCGTGATGCGGTCTAACATACATATGTACTAGAGGTTTACGCCGACAGGCTTTGCGGCGGCGGC